TGAAAGTCGGCAACATCCTCCAAATCATCCTCTAACTCGGCCTCTTCAGAGGGGGTTGGAGTAAGAGGAGGAGGCGGAGGAGGGGGCGGGAAAGAATAGGGCAAGTCTACCTGGCCATCAAGCCCCGCGGTGCTCACCGCAACGTCGAGAGCTGGATCCCACCAAGGGTGCTCATAGGGCAACGTACCGTCACCCTTAAACCCTCGAGGGTAAGGTAGATCGCTCTCCAAGGCCTCGTCATCGAAGGCCCCCGTAAAACCCTGGTCGGTGGCCTGCTTCTGAGTGCGCTTAATAGCGAGTGCCAAATACTGCTTACTCGCCGGAACGAACAGGTGAAGATAAGGAACCGAGTTGCGATACAGGCTAAGCAGCTCATCACGATACGCGATCAGGAACCGCCGACCTCCCTCAGAGCATAGGAACCTCCTAAAACCTTCCCGGCGAGAGGACTCGGCAGAGGCGGCATGACAGACCTTGGCCTCTTCCACCTGCCTCGATAGATCGGCCAACTTCCTCTTATGCTCCCCGCTCTTCTCCTAGAGGGCCTTTTCACGCTCAGTTATGGCCTTCTTGAGGGCAGTACACTTCCGCTCTGCAACCTCTTTGCCTTTGTGGGCCTCGACCAACTGATCCCTCAATGTCTCGGAGGTAGAATGGGCCTTCTCAAGCTGCCGTTTCAGCTTACCAATCTCCAAGCGGTCAGCCCCAGTCTTCCCATTCACTTCATCGAGAAGCAAAGAGCTCGCAGCGCCAAAGAACTACAGAAAAAAAAAAAAATCAAATCACCATCACCATCATCAATTAGGTTATAAAGGGGTGAATATAGCAGAGATACTAAACAACCAATGTCATACCTGGGCAAGTCGATGAACTGCCATACAGGCCCGATCTCGAGGTCTACCCTCAAAACGCCGATTCTCGGAATCGAGCATGACCGAGTACAAATAATTGGCAAGAGCGGCGGGATTGACGTCTTTCCCGAAGTCGGGAGGAACGACCACGCTATCGCCAAGGTTGGAAGGTCGAGCGCGTTTACGGGAGTCGACCCCATCACGGTTGGGAGTCGGAGGAGTCGGACCAAACCGCCCACCGCTCGGAGAGGGAACAGAACAGACCACCTGACGGCTCGAACGGTCGGGGGTCGAGGTAGTCCGATCGGAAGAAGGACGCACGTCGGCCCGCGATGGAAGGTCGGCTGCTGGATGGGTCGACTGAGATCCAGCTCTATGAGAAGCAGATTGGCTTTGGCTCCGGGTATGCGCCGAGGGTCGGTCTGCTCGATCTCGAGTCGAAAGCCCATCGCCGCACGCTCTCTTGGACTTAGCCTGTTTCTTTTGCACCACGTTATGTCTGATGATTGCATCTGAAAACAACAAATATGAAGGGGTCAGTGCAGTGCACATCGCATGCATAAACAAGTAAGGAAATGAAACATGGTTGACACGGTCGACACACGACCGACACGGTCGACACATAGTCTACGTGGTCGACACGTGGCCGATACAGTCGATAAATGGTCGATGCGATCGACCCTCGATCCATCAATGGTCGACACGACCGAACACGACCGATGGTCGTTGGGGTCGACACATGGTCGATGTGATCGACACGAGCCATGGTCGATGTGGTCGACACGGTCCATGGTCGATGTGGCCGACACGATCGACCAACGGTCGAACACGACCGGTCCATGGTCGACCCATGTTCAACATGGTAGACCCATGTTTCCAATATGGTCGACGTGGTCAACCCATGGCCAACGCGGTCGACTATGACACGATCGACCAACGGTCGAACACGACTGGTCCATGGTCGACCTGTGGTCAACATGGTCGACCCACGGTGCCAATATGGTTGACGTGGTCCACCCATGGCCAACGCGGTCGACCATGGTCGACATGTCGGGACGCGGACGATCCCGTGGTTGACGCGATCAACTCATGGCCAATAGAAAGGCCGCATGATCGACCCACGACCAACGGTCGACGGGATCCCATCGGGGCCGACACAGTTTGGCCCCATAACTCACACAAAGACATATAAGGGACCCCGGCAAGGGCCCTCAAGGGTCGATTAGCTCGACCCATACGCAATGATAGACAAGGACAAATGAAGCAATATGCACACAAGAATGATAAAAGAATAACAACAGCACAGGTGCAAGTAAAAACAAATCAGTAGTTGGTACCTATGGTGTAGGAGTGGGGTGACTTCTCGAGGGTCAAACCGGCATAATGGCGAAGGGTGACCGAGGAAGTAAGGGGCACTATGGCGATGGGTTCCTTATTCCATTCCAAGACCACAGATCTCCAGGGGGAGCTTTTCTTGGGTCTACTCGCTGAGAAAGATGTTTATGAAGCCACTTCGACTCGAAGTAGAAGGTGTCGGGTGGAGGCCGGACGAAAAAGAACCTTCTCTTCCACGAGGGGATATTAGAAGGAAGCTTCAAAATAAACTGGGCCCATTACGGGAAAGAGTATAATGGCACCCCGTATTACCCCATCGTTGGAACCTCAAGCTATGGCAATAGAAATAGAAGTTGGGCTCTAACTGCCCCAACTGGTGATGGCACAAAATAGCAAATGCGACCATGGTCCGAATGACATTAGGAGAAAGTTGGTTTAAGGGAAAGTCAAACACCCGACATAGACACAAGAGAGGGCCAAGGCCGAATCAAAGACCCGCACCAACTTGCTCTTAAAAAATGTATAGCATCCGGGGGGTGGTCGGTCATATGTATCCGAAGGGACCGGTTTCACAAACTCCCAACCGGTAGGCAACTCGCAAAACACCTTGAACTCCGCGATGTCGTCGTGCGACATACGGGAAAATGGACTAGGTCTACTCCCAAAACCTCACACCCACCTGAGTCGGTCGAGGAGGAGGCGCGGCTACCTGAATCAATCGAGCGGGTAGCATGTCCACCCGGTTTGGACGAAAGGGAGGCGCAGCCTCCCGAGCCACGCGAAGGAGGAGCGGGTCCCCCCGAGCTGGTCAAAAGAGAGATGCCATGACCCGAAATCGAGTTGGGCACGTCAGAGAAGGAGGGGATGTCTTCGAGATCGAAAGGGATATTGGGAATGAGCCTCCAAACCTTTGGAGTTCATCCCACGTAAATACTCCCTCTTTCTCATCGACTAAATGAAAGGCATCGGCCTTAGGAGGAGAATCGGGAGGTATATCTACATAAGGGTACGAAAGGGGAACTACGTAAGGACCTTTGGACTAAAACCGTGGCTTGAAACGGGAAATTGAGCCAAAGGAACGGAAATGAGAAAGCTACAATACTCCAAGAACGACTAAGACACAAGAAATTTTTAATTAAATTGAGAGAGGCCAAGGATACATACCCATAATCGGAGGTAGCTCAAGCTCGATCGGAGGGATTGGCGACATAGAAGAACTCATGAATGGTGTGCCGGGTAGAGGGGTTCGCAAATAACCTGCCGGATGGAGGAATTCGAGAGAAAGTCGCCGGGTCGGAGGATGTGCGAGCGAGCCGTCGGGTCGGAGGGCTCACGAACGGGCCGTCGGGTCGGAGGCGCGCGAGCAAACAGTCGGTCGAAGGGGGGTGGGTAGACGAGCCGCCGTGCCAGGGATGGTCGAAACAAGTAAGGGTAGAAGGGTTTTGTAGAGAGGGGAAAAGGAGAAAAAAATTCCTTAGCAAATAGGGAGGTGAGTGTTTATAAATGGAGGAAAATTCTAAAGGAGAGGATGAATATTAACCACACAATTTAAATAGGTGATGGGGTAGGTGAAGTACATGGTCTTGGAAAAAGGAAGGCATTGGTCAAAAAGTTATCCAAATGTCAAATCAAAGCTCTTCAACCGATAAGGCAATCGGGCATAATATCGTAACGAATTGGAGGTATACTCGATACTTTCACGGTAATGACAACGAGACACACGGACATTGATATTTACGATTCCACGAATTTTGTTTCGTATGCTCGTAAATAGGGGGGAGTAATTGATAGGGATACTAGTACCAACCCCAAAATTACCTAGCCATAGACCCGTAAAACCGGAGCCAAATAATCCTATGGGTCGAACCGGATGGGAAAGACTAAAGGCAGTCGATTGGCATTAATGGTCGAACACGGGCCGGTGGTCGAGCAGGCCCTTGAGGTCGAACCGGATAAAACCGGAGTAGGGACTTGACCGTCCGGGAGACTCGGGCGTCGACCCAAAGGTCGACCCTTGGCAGTATCTGAACGGGTCGAAATTTCGACCCCCGGACACAGGCATCGACCAAGTTAGGCTCGGTCAACGGTTGTCTAAGGACTTATAACCGCGAAGGAAAGCACACAACAAAGGGCTATATATATCATAAGTACATTAGGATGAAAGTAAGACATCACTTAATACAATAACTGTTATATTCATTACATAATTACTCTACTCCGAGATATTGACTTGCGCGTCGGAGGGTCTTGCGCCGGAGCAATTCCGGCGCTTTTGCAGGTACCGGCGAACTCAAGGACTTGAATCGCACCAAACTGATAGATCCACGTTCAAATCAGAGAACCTTTTGGAAAACCGGAGCCACTATCTCGGACCATATCAAGTATAAATAGATAGATTTTGTGTAATTGATCTAAATAGTTTTGATAGCAGAGAGAATTATCATACCAGATATAAAACGCCGGAATATTTGGTCAGCCAAAGTGTTTGAATAAGATCTTTTAAATTATGAAAGTACAATTCTACAAAATAAAGTTGAATGGGACCTTATATTTTCCTTACAAGCTGTATTAGATGAATTATTCAAAAGTTTTTATGAACTTAAAAATGTTATAATTTTAGCTGTTATTTTGCAGAATTGACCAAATTTTAGCTGTCATTATGCTGCATTAACCAAAGTACTCCAGTAGTAACAACATTAACTTGGAGAGTTGGAGTTGGGGAGACCAGAATGAATGACGCCATAGAAAATTATGAAAAAAAAAAAATACTTAGATTTGAAGCCGGATATAAAACAAAGATCAAGATCGATACCACCTGAATTAGAAAATGTCAGCTAAAGCATCATACTACAACATGTAAGAAGTGTGAAGGCTGTTCTCAAAATGCATTTCCATTAACACATTCAACTGTGCAATGACATGAAGAATTTTAAGCTGACAATGAAGATAATCTCAAAATAGTGTGTGGTTCATCTATTGCTACACCAATCATGATAGGCCCTAATAAGTAATAGGGATTCTCATATGTATAAAATATATACACAGGAATTGAATAGAAACAAGAATGGCAGCATAGGCTAAAATATAATTGCTTAATTTGAATTTCTTTTTAGACAAGAGGATTTTGGTCAAGGAGCTAATGTATCGTCTTCTGAGGCTGAAAAGTCATTGCACCCTTGCTCACCTTCCCAGTCAATATTGGCTTCGTGTTTTTTTCTTGAACTACCACTATATCTCTGACTCTCTAATAATAATAATAATAATAATAAAGAAAACAAAAGAACAATAAAGTTTTATAACACTTTGAGGGGGTTATTTGTGATGTTGAATGATAGCAGATTCTTATTTATTTTATTTTTATTTTTGTCAATTTGTTTAAACCTTGAGGGTAGGTTTGTAATTAAATCACATAATCTGAACAAAAGATCTTACTCTTGGTAGAGATGGCAGAGCGAGTGAAGGTTAAAAATTGATCCCAGTTGAATTTGCTTAGTTCCTGCTTTTCCTCCTCAGATAGTTCAAAGTTGGGCTCCCTTCCACACATGAAAGCCGCCCTACATGTTTCCACAATGTCGCCTTTCAGGCTTCTAAGGTTCACAATTTACTGTGACAAGCACACAAAGTATATATCTTTCAAGGTTTTTGTTTATGCATGTTGTTAGATCTCCTTTGTATTATTATTATCACTCCTTTTGAGAACGAAAAGAAATCCTTCGGCGGAAGTTCTTTGAATAGATTGATTGTTAGCATTAGTAAGAAAGCATATACCCCTTTTCGTTCTTATTCTCTCGCCTTTCAGTACTCAGAAAGGCCACAGCACGTGTGTGTGTATGGTGTCACCCTCTATAGATGAAAACTCAAAACTTCTGCGCAGAGTTTCTCAAGCTTATGTGTCAATTCTGATTCTTCCTATGAGTCGGATTCTGGTGATTAATGATCACTTTCTGGTACCTTTAGTCCATGTAGATCTGGATTTATATCCTTGCCTATTACACTTTTAAATTATAAAATAATTTATTAACTTAAATTGTAAATATATTTTAAAAATTAGTAACTCGTATTTGTTAATAGTTTTTTATACGTAAATTATTAATTTAAATATCTTTTGACGAACTTCGGATTCACATTCATATAAAAACAAAAGATTATATTTATCTTCATAATAAAAATTAAATTACCTATTAATATTAACTGAAAAACATAAAACAATTTATCAATTAAATAAATTTATCTATAAAGTAATCAACTAATCACATGATATAAGTTAGAAAATTCTCTCCCTACCCGAGCCTATGTGTCAACATTTGGTGTTACGCAATTCAAATTTTGGTGCTTTGTAATCCTATGTGCTAATGTCTGGTGCTTCGAAGTAGTCCATGTAGTTATGGACTTCTATCTATGCATATTACAACTTTTAAAATTGTAAAACACTTTCCAGTAACTATAATTTAAAAGTTAATAACTTATGTATCTGTTATCATTTTTTCATATATAATATATCACTAGTACAATATCTGTGTATTACACGAGTTATGAATTAATAAGCATAGATATAATATATTAAAGGTTTTATTTTCTTTTATCCTGAAATAATTTGTGTTTTAATTAAACTGTCAAACCATATTTTTTTAAATCATAAGAGTTGAACACCTGTATATTATTTTAGAATTAAGATGTCAAACTATATTTTTTTAACTCTATATGTAATTTTAGAATTTGAATAATTATTATTTATTTTTATTAGATTCACAGTATACCAATTAAATTTTAAACAAATTATCGTTTTTGAAAAGAATAATATCATATTACTTCAAGAAATGAGTAGTATCTGAATATTGGATAGAAAGATTGAGATATAAATTAATATGATTGATTTAAGTGAAGATATGTGATAGGAAAAAAAAATGATATAAAAAGAAAAGCACTATGGTAACTATAAAAGAAAAATACGAAAATGAAATGAAATAAATAATGATTGTTTCAACAAAGGAAATATTTAATTTATTATGAAAATAACCATGGCTAATTGACATTTGACATGACACCCGAGCCTAATTATGTATCAATTCAAAGCATAGAAATACGACAAATACGATCCCAAAGCATGCGAGCCTGTCACTTAGGCTCAGGACATTCGAGAATTATATATAGGAGCCAGGAGGAACCTTAAACATTTCCTTTTCTGATCGGCATCAGTTTGGCATACATATTGTACATCTATACTTATATTAAAGGGGGTACTATTTACCAAATTAAGTAGCCAGAAAAGTCAACAGTATTTATTGCACTACTATTTCCGTATTATATTATATAAAAGGATATTCTATTTACTACATTTACTATCCAGAAAAGTCAACTGCATTAAATGTCATTACTATTTTGGTATTATAATTATTTATTTATTTAATTAATTTATTTATTTATTTTATTTTAAAAAGGTAAGTATAATAAAAAAAAAATTTAATAATAAAAAAATCAAATACCAAATAAAAATGTACACTTTGACTTATTTGATTATATTTGGTATTTGATTATACCAAATATATTCCTATTTAGTATATACATTAAATACTTACTAAAGTATTTATTTGTTTTATTTGTCAAAGTTAAGTATAGATTTGTTTATATTATCAAATCATAAAAAATATTAAATCCATATTGTAAAA